GAATAATTGGTTAAGAATCAGGGCTCTAAGCTTCAAAAAATTATTGTAGCAGGAGTTCTTCATAGAGAGTTTTATTATTTGGCTTGAGGTAGTTAATAAGGTGAATTGTGTGAGATTAACACATTCTGGCTTCAGAGAAACGAAAAACTACACATTTTGAAATATGGTCGTGGAATTATAGAGCTGTGAGAATTGGTATACACATAAAAATATAGATCTGCAAATCTCCAGCTAGTCTAATCAAAACCATACTGAAATGTGTGCCCTCCATATTAAACCATCACCCAGGCCCGAGTGGGATTTACTGTGCTCAAGCTTATTTTGCATTTGAAGATAACAAAATATTTGTAATCACATTTCAATTCAATGAATTCTTTGGTCTTGGGTCCTTTCTACTGTGCTCTACTGATGGTTCATGTAACCAACTTCCTGAGGTTTCTAAGTTTTTATTTGGGCGTTTAGGAGATGTAGGAGAAATGAAGGTGTATGGATAGCAATCCTTGGTAAATCAAGGTAGGAGAACCAGGGCCACATTTTCTAGACATGGTACAGAAATGGCTTCAACTTGTTTATAATCTGTTGCTGGTTTTAACAAGTTCAAAGATTTTTTGAAAGGAAATAGGAAAAAGTTGGGCTAGAGATTTGATGAAGTTTTTCTCAGGAGGCAGTTGGAGTGAAACATTTAAAAATTGTCTGCCCTAGCCAGTTTGGCTCAGTGGATAGAGCGTCAGCCTGCAGACGGAAGGATCCTAGGTTCAATTCTGGTCGAGGGTACATGCCTGGATTATGGGCTTCGTCGCCAGTGGGGGGCATGCAGGAGACAGCCAATCAGTGATTCTCTCTCATCATTGATGTTTCTATCTCTCTCTTCCTCTCATTTCCACTCTGACATCAATAAGAATATATTTTTAAAAATTGTCAGTAGAACACTACTTGTGGAGAGCTGTGTCATTATTCAACTTTGGGCTCAAGCAGACTCAGAACAGCTTGAATTACGCCACATTATGAGTGAGAGGGAATGCTTCTTTCTACTGCAATTAAAAAAATCATTCTAGTGTAGATGTTAGCAAGCACCTGGAATCTAGTGTTATAACTAACTGGATCACTTGCTCATACATATGAGATGCAAATGCATATAGTTTGGATTTGTTTCACATTTTACCAGCAGTATTGCTATGTCTGCATATTGATTTGGCCTGATGGTTGGATAAAATTTCAGCAGAACTGCCATATTCCAGCGTGTCTGCTTTAGTTGAAGTACTTGTATTTATTTGTATCCAGAGATGAGAATTCTTCGAGGGGGGAAGCTATTTATTGAATATAAGATATTCTCGATAATAATAGGTTAATATCTTTAAAAGTACAGTTTATAATGTAATATGCCCAAAACCAGTCTCATCTAGTAGAAACAAAGGGATGTGTTGGGGGTGGGATGAGCCAACTGTTTATACAGGTTTTCAATCGGCTTTTATTTTAAAAAAGTGCATGGAATGCATCCAAAACTAATAATGTTTTGTTAGATGAGAAGACCAAAAGGGAAATCCTAAAGAAAGGAGGATGGATGATCTTTCTTTAATGTCAGAACTGACATAAACACCGCCCCCCTTTGCTCAAGATAGTTTTCTCAACAAGACCCAGATTGCTTCAGTCTTTGCCTATCATCCTTTGAAGCACTTTCCTTATTAGTAGGAGTGGGGGCAGGGTTTCCTTTGAGGATTTTTACAGCAGCGAAGAGTTCCTCCTTTAAATATTTTCACATGATGAGGGAATTCCGCTTTCAAAGTGCTGTCATCACGTGGCTTCTCCGCCATGAGACACTTTATTCCTGCATGAAGGGCCTTCTTAGTTTGATTGTCAGTAAGGACTTACCTTTCTGATGGATTCCCTTTCTATAGAGCTGCGCTTTCTTGAGAGACCTAGCAGAAGAACTCAGCATTCTCTTGCATTAACCTCATTGGTGAAGTTGACCAGGATTCTCTTTTGAAATGTGTTCATTTCATCACGTGGGGTAATAGTCCTCAGCATGGTTTCCCTTGTCAGTCTCCACTAATGAAGATTGGGGTGACAGGTTGAATATTCCATCTTGAAAACTATGTTACTAATATGGTGAAAAGGGACACTCTGAATTTGAAGGAGTTTCGAAATGTCCTATATTTTTAAGAGGCTCTTACGATGTTTAAGTAACACAGTGGTAAACAACAAATAATTCAAGTGCCGACAGTTTTCCTGGAAACATTGAATTCTTTCGAGAATCTTTATTCTGTTCTTGAATATAGTCTTCTGGAAAATTCTATAAATATTTAATTCATGGTTACAAAATGTATAGCTGTATGGTTTCCTAGCTCATTGGAAAGCAGTTTACTTCCCTGCCCAAAATCTTTAGTCAGCGATGATTCACAATTGTTAGGAAAGAATTAGTATTAAGAAACCCCAAATAGAATGGGCAGTTTCTCAACAGGATTGCCTAAGGGTGAACTTTTAAGTCTTTGTGGTGGTTCTAGATAAATGAATTGAAGCTTATCCATGTCCCAACCTCCATTGCATCATTTACATCATTACTCTTGGACTTGCCCTTTGAACAGTTTGGTCATTAGAAGGTGAGAAAAATCAGTATTGTTTTGGATGCATTATCTGCATCTACCTTGAAGCTCCTAAGTGTAACAGTGTAACTCACCAACTAATCCAGACACAGCCTTAAACATATTTCTTAAAAGCTGCCACCTCCTTCCTGCTAGAGTTCAAATTAATGAGCTCAGCCTTGCGCTGAGGAAGAAGGTGGAACATCAGGAGAGAGCCCTGCACTGAAGTCAGAATACCCATATTCTAGTTTTGGCTCTGGCACTACTGCCGTGTAACATTGGCAAATAACTTACCCTTCTGTTCTCCTCCCTCCCCCCAAATGCTGTAGGTGAGTGACCTAAATGATCTTCCTGTTTTTACCATTCTAAATAAATAATAAGCCTATTTCACCTACGTAGAGAGGCTTCATTATAATGATTGAGCCAAGTTGCATACTCCAGTGAGAAACTGGCGTTGGTATTTCTTGATCTAGTTGGTCAATAAAGGAATATGATTATATTTTCTCTCTCCTGTGAATCTCTGTGAGGTAGCATAATTATTCATCCCATTTTTTTGTTTGTTTAAGGCTCATTGGAAATCAAGTTAATAAACATTTCAGCTGTTGATGAGCTAGACTCTGCCTTTAGAGTGCTCACCACTGCCTCAGGGAGGAGGGCATGCAAACACATCACAAATCCAGTGAGATGAGCAGAACAAGATGAGTTATATATGATGCAGGGTAGCATGAGAAATATATATGTATATATTTCTGTACCTATTTTTAGTTCTAGAAATAGGAAAATGTATGTGGGGGGGCGGTGTAGAGGCAGCTTTATGGTAAACTAAAATCAAAACAGCACTCCTAATTCTTTACCTCTTTTCTATTGAATCAGTTATGTCCCCTCATAATATTAGTTGTCATAGACTGCAATCAAATGAATTATGACATGGGGGGTTACAAAATACAGAATGTTCTCTTTCTTTTCATGAATAAATTTTTTTTCAATGTCCTCAGGCATCACCATTAAATTCCTCTTTACTAGCTATTGGCACTTCAGTCACTGAACAGAGAACACCTAAATGTGTCAGGTAATCGTTATAAACCAGACACTTTCACCTATGTGAAATATGTTCAGATTCTCCCCAGAATTTAGACAGTAGGAAAAATTGAGTTTTCTAGAGGATGCTGGTGTGTCTTAGCATAATTAAATTTAGGGGAATGTTATAAGTAGAAGAGTGAAGTTTTCCTGGTGATTTGCAGTAATCTTGAACTCAGTCAAGGAACTAGAAAAGTGTTCACAGTCTCGGGTTAAATCTAGCGCTGACTATGAGCTATATTGTTGTGTTGTGGGGGATGGGGAGCTTGGGAGGGAGTTTCTTATAACATATCGGCCTGAGCTAATTTGTTTTGTTTGAAACTGGAAATCATATTGTTGAAGTTTGCATTCTGTTTTCTTTCAATAGGTTTTTAAAAAGTTTCCTCCTTTCTGTAGGAATAAATGTGGCTTCTGAATAAGAAAAAAAAAATTGCACCAGCAATTCAACAACATTGCACCTCTTTCATCATTTTGGGGATGCAGGCTTCAGCTCAGTAACTCCCGACATATTTTCTGGAAACATGTAAAAACATGCCCATAAGTACTGAACATAAAACCTGACTTTACACTCATAAACATTTGTATAATCTTATGGTCCATAAGTACTGAACATAAAACCTGACTTTACACTCATAAACATTTGTACAATCTTATGGTCCATTTACCATTGAGTTTCTTAAAGCTTTGTGCATATTTTAAAAGTCATTAGAATAAATGAAAACTGGAACAAGATGCTATTTGAGAGAAGGTGCTACACAGAAATGTTGAACAACACTGTTCTATGACTTTCTCCTATGAAATGAGCAAGCCTCCTGGCCCCCCCCCCAAATAGATAGAAGCAGAGCTTTCCAGGTATCCCCCTCCCAGAAAATTAAGTATTCCTTTTTTTGCATTTTAACCATCCAAACTAAGTGATGAAAAAGCATATTTCCTAAAGAAGCGTGGATAGTTGAAAAGTCAACATCCAGACCCATTGGATTGTATGTTGGAAAATGGCACATTGTAAGGCTCATAGTGCTTCAGGGCCTTGCCCAGTGACCCTGAAGGTAAATGAGAGAGGAGAAAGTGATGAGAGAGAGCTTTGTAAGTCCAGGGATGCTCTGGAAAACTACTAGATGGTCTACGAATGTCTCATGAAACAGAAAATCCCAATGCAACTGTAATCTGAGTGTGAGGAAAAGGTTCTTCTTAAAAAAGAGTTGCACTCTTGCAAAATATATTAGCCATCAACTTTTACCTTTTCTTTTTTCAAGTTGAAAAAGGTAAACATGGTTCTTGCATTCTAACCCAAGGCTTTGTTTCTCTCCTCTCCCGGGTTTGGGTCTTGTGCCGGCTCTGCCCTAGGTTGGCCTTCATTCCACGATGTGATCAGCTCTGACGCAATCACACTCACCGACGACTTTTCCTACGGGATGCACAGGGTGGAGACGAGCTGCTCTCAGGTCAGTTCCCTCCCTCCCCTGAAACCCAGGGCCCACTCTGCACTGCACACACTCCCAAGATGCCTAGCTTTGCTAAATACAGCAACAAAGCCAAGTGAATGACTGTCTCAAAAGGAGCAGACGACCACAGCGAAGTCTCTATGAATCTTAAGGGTACCTGTCTTCATGTGTTTAGCAAGTCTAATTACATGCCAGTTATTGGCTTCAATATGATTAGACAAAATCTTTGGTAGGAAAAATCATTGTCAGTTGACGCAATAGAGTCAAGAATGGGCTATTCTTAGGACATATGAAGACTTCATTCCGTGGCCTTACGTCATCTGATGTTTAGGTCCTCCTCTTCCTGGGGTTGGTTCTGTGCACTCATTGTTCAGTCATCTTACCTCTAATGGTAATGATCTAAACACAGTGAACAGAGACCCCATAAACAGCTTTCTTTGGGTGGGTGTGAGGAGGGAGGGCGGAGACTGGCTGTAAGAAGAGGAAATTCAATGGTAGGCTGTATGAGTGCAGAGTGGGAACACGGGCTATGGTAATTTCTTCCCTGCTTCTCCAAGAATATAGACTGATCCTCATATCCAAGGATGTTCTAATTTGTTCCTTTTACTCTGCTCTTACCACATTTACTCTGATGGCTCTAAGAGAGAAAATGAGGAGGCAAAAATAGTTAGCCTATCATCCCAGTCAAAAGACTTGAATATGTGGGTATCTGATGCCTAAAACTAGAGAGGTAGCTAGAACCTTCTTGCACACCAAGTGAGCAACCACACATGCTATTCTGCAGTAGGGAGTCCTGTTCTTACCTGCTTTAAGTGTAATGGAAAGTCTGAGTATTGTGGCACTGAAATTCATTGATACTACTGAGTATTTCGTTGGGGGATGTCTGTTGCATATATCAAAGGTAAAGGGGGCACAGTCAGGCAGCTGTAATAGCAAAGTGATTGCCACATGGGCCTCCCTCAAAATTCTTCTACCTGCCCTTTAACCCCCTCCATCAGGCACAAGAGTTTTAGGGAGTAGGTGGCATATTTACTACCAAGTGGGGAGGGAGTTTGGTTTGACCCTAACCGTCTGATGAATTTCTGTTTTCATTTTTTAAAAAAATAAGGTTGGCAAGTTTACTGTCTTCAAATATGAGAGCTACTCTCTCCTTTGAAATGCAGACTTCTTATTTTCCAGTCACATTTCAGTTCAGTCTTGTTTCTCAAGTATGAGTTTGTAAGCAAGAGCATGGGACTTTGTGAAGCTTGTTTCACCTCCTGAGATTCTAATTTAATTGGTTGGCACAAGGCCTGAACATCAGCATTTTTAAAAGCCCCTCTGGTCCTAACCTGTTTGGCTCAGTGAATAGAGCATCGGCCTGTGGACCGACCAGGTTCGATTCTGGTCAAGGGCATGTACCGTGTTTGCGGGCACATCCCCAGTTGGGAGTGTGCAGGAGGCAGCTGATTGATGTTTCTCTCTCATCGATGTTTCTAACTCTCTATCCCTCTCCCTTCCTCTTTGTAAAGAATAAATAAAATATCCTATCTAATAAAAGAGAAACATTGTAATTGGCGTACGACCGCTACCCTTCCCATTGGCTAATCAGCGAGATATGCAAATTAACTGCCAGCCAAGATGGCGGCCGGCAGCCAGGCAGCTTGAAACTAACATGAGGCTTGCTTGCTTCAGTGACGGAGGAAACCAACATCCCCCGCCTGCCTTGCTGGTCTCTGAGCCTGCAGTTTAAAAAACATTGTAACAAATATAGAAGCTAAACAAAACCCCAGAAACCTGCTTTCAGTGAGCCGGGATCTCAGAGCTGGAATTGATACAGAGTTTTGATTATAGAACCTAAACAAACCAGATACCTGCTTTTAGCAGCAGATGCCTAAGAGCTGGAGCCTCAGAGCTAAAGCTGGCCCAGAATAAAAAAAAAAGAAAAAGAAAAAAAGGAGTCGTTGGGAGCTTCAGTCCCAGCCTGAAAACAGCCCTCAGCCCCTCACCCAGACTGGCCAGGCCCCCCAGTGGGGACCCCCACCCTGATCCAGGACACCCTTCAGGGCAAACCAGCTGGCCCCCACACATGCACCAGGCCTCTATTCTATATAGTAAAAGGGTAATATGCCTCCCAGCACCAGGATCAGCGGAGCCGCAAGGCCTCCCTGCACCGGGATCAGCATGACAGGGGGCAGCGCCCAAACCCCCTGATCGCCCTGCAGCTCTGTGTGTGACAGGGGGCAGGGCCACAACCTCCCTATCTGCCCTGCTCTGTTCCTGACAGGGGAAGGCGCCCCAACCCCCTGATCGGCCCTGCTCTGTGCCTGATAGGGGGGAGCTCCCCACCCCCCTGATCGCCCTGTGGCTCTGTGTGTGACAGGGTATGGCACCCCAATTCTCCCCACCCCTCACGGGCCCTGCTCTGTGGGTGACAGGGTAGAGCCATAACCTCCCCATCGGCCCTGCCCTGAGTGTGACAGTGGCGGCACCCCAACCCTCTGATCGGCCCTGCTCTGTGTGTGACAGGGGGGAGCTCCCCAACCCCCTGATCGACCCTGCTCTGTGCATGACAGGGAGCAGCGCCCCAACCCCCTGATTGGCCCTGCTCTGTGCGTGACAGGGGGTGGCGCTGCCACCTCCCTATCGACCCTGCCTTGAGTGTGACAGGGGACGGTGTCCCAACCCCCCAATCGGCCCTACCCTGAGCGTGACTGAGGGTGGCATCGCAACCTCCCAATCCGCCCTGCTCTGTGCATGACAGGGGGCGGCGACCCAACTCCCCAATCGGCTCTGCTCTGAGCCCGACCAGGGGCTGCACCTAGGGATTGGGCCTGCCCTCTGCCACCCGGGATCAGGCCTAAGCCAGCAGGTCGTTATCTCCCGAGGGGTCCCAGACTGCGAGAGGGCACAGTCCGGGCTGAGGGACCCCCTCCTCCCACCCCGAGTGCACAAATATTTGTGCACCGGGCCTCTAGTATTTTAATAAAAAATAAATAAATAAAAGCCCCTCTGGTTAATAATACTCACGATAACCTTATTAGGTACATATTTTCATTCTCCTCATTTTACAGATGAGGAAATGGAGGCATAGGAGAACAATTACACTTGCATAAATTACATAGATTTAAGAGGCAGAACTGAGATTGATTTTGGGCATTTAGCAACAGAGCTCTTTATGGTGCTTAAATTAATAGAGATAGATAGATAGATAGATAGATGCACCATAAACAGTCACATTGAAATAAGAAAAAGAAATCCTATGATTCCCCCAGCAGTTAGTTTAATTCAGTTCAGTTTTGAATCCAACTGAATTTTAATTGATATTTTTATAACTGCCACAAAAACAAATTATGACTATCTACCCAGGAATCTAAAATATTTGACAAAATAGTAACTTGATAGGATGGCACATAGTAATTTATAATTTAGGCACATACATAATACTTAGTAAGCCTCTTAGTAAGGCTAATAGCTTTTATTTTTAAAAAATCTTTATTATTGAAAGTAAGTTAATAGCCCTTCCTTCCTTCCACCTTAAAGGCTGTTAAATGACTGTTATTCTCCTTTTTCACTTATAGCCCACTTTCAAACATTGAGTCACATGAAAATTGAATTAAAAAGGTACAGAAAAAAGTAAGGCATAAGATAACTTTCCTGAAGGCCCTACTCTCTGATGGCTTTGTGACTAATTCTTAAAATTCACAGTTGGAATAAACTTCTTCTTTCTCTGTGCCAGCCACAGAGGTAACACTAGTAGTAATAAAGAAAAGGCCATGAAGGTGACCAAAGAGAAATGAAACTCACAAACTGCCAAAATTAGACAAACTTCATAGAAGGATGTCAAGCTAACCCAGCTGTTGCTCTCAGCTTCTGGTTAAAGGCCTGGGTGATGGTTACTATAACAGTTGAGTGAAGAACTAACACTGACCTGTTCCCTTTCAGCTTCTTTTTCCACCGCCTTTACTTCTCATATTTAAAATGTGGTGCTAGCTCAGTGGATAGAATGTGGGCCTTCGGACTAAAGGGTCCCCAGGTTCGATTCCAGTCCGGGCACATGCCTGAGTTGCAGGCTCGATCCCAGTAGGGGGCATGCAGGAGGCAGCTGATCAATGATTCTCTCTCATCATTGATGTTTCTATCTCTGCCCCTCCCCCTTTCTCTCTGAAATTAATAAAAATGCTTAAAAAACAAACAAACAAATAAATAGATGTTTGACCCTTCTTAAATGAAAGCTTAAGTTTAAAGCGAAATAAGCCAGAGAAAGACAAGTATCACATGATCTCACTCATATGTAGAATCCAATGAACAAAATAAACTGATGAACAAAATAGATCCAGAGACATAGAAGCGTGGAACAGACTGCAGAATCTTGGAGGGAAGGTGGAGAAGGGTAGGCATTGGGAAGAGATCAACCAAAGAACTTGCATGCATATAAGCATAACCCATGGAAACAGACAATAGGGTGGTGAAGGCCTGGGGGAGAAGAGTGGAGAGGGGGCCTAATAGGGGCTAATGGGGCAGGGAGGGGGAGAAAGTTTTAAGTTTAAAGAGAAGAAAGAAGGAAATTTGTTCCTCTAAGGCAGCGGTTCTCAACTTGTGGGTCGCGACCCCTTTGGGGGTCGAACAACCCTTTCACAGGGGTCGCTTAAGACCATTGGAAAACACGTATATAATTACATATTGTTTTTGTGACTAATCACTATACTTTAATTATGTTCAATTTGTAACAATGAAATTGGGGGTCACCACAACATGAGGAACTGTATTAAAGGGTGGCGGCATTAGGAAGGTTGAGAACCACTGCTCTAAGGCATGTGTAAAAACACATGGTTTGCAAAGTAAGTTCCGTGTAGAAAATAATCGGGTTCCAACCCCCGAAATGTTTGCTGGATCCTTCCCCATGTGAACAGAGGAGGGGCCACCTGTCACCCAGGTGGAGTGAGCTTCCTGAATTAAAGGGTGCCGGTGCCTTTCACATCCAGTTCTTTGTCTTTTAATTTGTGTTTCACACACAAGTT